GTGTCTAACAACTACTAAAGTTTTTAACATTATTATTGAAAAAAAAAATTGTAAATGAAAATGAAATTGTGGTTTTCTTTCTTCTTCATCCATCCTGCTACTAATTGTTTCTACATGGGTAAGCAATTATTATAATTTGTATCCACTCTCTGTAGCAAATTTTATTTCTTTTTTAGGAGAATAATTTGAGACGCGAGGATCCAACTTCCAACCTCGACATAAGGAGTATATTTAAACTATTCACATCTAGGCAAACACTTATTTTGAAATCATTTAATTTTCTCTACAAAAGAAAAAAAAATTAAAGAAATCATTGTATTTTATTGTAGAAAATAACAAAATCAAGATCGTTGAAATTGAAGGAAATCCCAAACCTAATTATAATAAAACAAATGCTTACGCACTATCTCACAAATAATGAATTTTGAAAAATAAAGAACTCTCCACTAAACGCGATAATAATAATACTAATCAAGAACTTCTAGATGGTGCGTCGGCTGTAGGCCCATTTCTTTAATATAAACCGTATTTCTCCCCTAATTTCTTTTAAATTCGATCCAAATTTTAACTTCCAATTTCATAAATTTAGATTTAAACAAGTATTTGTGATCCAAATTTTAGAGGTAAAAAGTTGTGCAACTTATTTTGTCAATTTGAGATTGGTTAGGGACATTTTAGTTCGATGAGACATGTAGATATTGATCTTTCTATTAATAATGGAAGATATTTTTACTTTCTAAAGTATAATGTATTTTACGGAGGTAGATTAAATCAATTTGAACTTTCAATTTATAAGAATGACCGTAACCCCAAATGATGTTTAAATTAGTGGATGTTGGTTTTAGTATTATTATTATTATATTTTAGTTTTTTCAACCCAATATATAAAATTTATACAGATAGTTCTTTAAATCATATATAAAGTAGGAAAAGAGACGTTAAAATAGAAAATTTGGCTTTATATTATATATATATATATATATTTATCGTGGGAATAAAAAATCGAGTAGTCAATATCGAAGTCGTTGTGAGTTGTGTGTGGGTGCATTAGGCTTCATTAATGGCTCAATCAATCGTTTTGCTGTACGTCAATCTCAAGAGGAAGAAACCAAGAATTGTAAGATGGGGGGACACCCAAAAATTCAAAAATTCAAAAAAACCAATCTTTTGATCCCCACAGCTAATGATGCATCATATTCTAAATTCTAAAGCCAATTTCTCAGCCATTTGTAAGTTATGGGATTTGCTTTTTTTGTTTATATATTCTCATTTGATTACCCAATCTTAGCTTTCTCTAATACTCAGTGTGACCAAAACTTTAGCTTGCTTTTATCATTATTGCAATGAGTAGCCTGCAGCTATAATCACTGCTGGACAAATTTGGTTTCATCATTCCTGCTTTTAACAAATTAAGCTTAAATCCTAATTTAGTCGGGTATGTTTTACTTTGATTTATTTTAGTTCCACTAATTTCAAAATGTTCATTTTGATTATTAAGAACTCGTTTGGTAACGTCTCTTTCTTCATTTTTTAAGGATGGAAAATGAATATCTTGTCTCCAATATCCAATAATTTAAGTATGGTGAGACAATTTTTTTATTTATATTTTGAAACAAATAGGAAATGGGAATAAGAAAGAAAGATTTATAATTTAGTGAGTCAAGTGTGTTAAAATTAGGATGGAAATAAATGATTTATAACTGCATTTTTCCTTACAAATTGTATGTCATTCTTACTTTTATTTAATATTTTAATTCTACGATTAATAAAAATAAAACATTAGAGTATATTTCGATAATTATTCTAAATTATTGCTATTTTGAACAATACTCAACTCATTTTGGCACCTATTTTCGATCAAAATATTGTTAATTTAAATCCTCATTTCCAATTATTGCAGTAAAGCAAAAAAAGAGATAATTATTCTAAATTAAAATACGGGAAATTATTAGTATATTTAGTCTTTAATCACTAGTTAACTAACAGTTGAATGAGTTTATTGTTGATTGATATTTAAAATTGCGTCATCTGAAATATAGGTTGGATATTTGGAAAATAGTGGCTATTAAATCATTAGAGATCCTATTAGAAGTCTAAATAAGAATTTTATGTAAAAAAAAAAATCTAAAGGATTTATTGTTGATTGATATTTAAAATTGCGTCATCTGAAATATAGGTTGGATATTTAGAAAATAGTGGCTGTTAAATCATTATTTAGATTAGAGACCCTATTAGAAGTCTAAATAAGAATTTTATGTAAAAAAGAAAAAAAAATCTAAAGAATTTATTGTTGATTGATATTTAAAATTGCGTCATCCGAAATATAGATTGGACATTCGGAAAATAGTGGCTATTAATTAATTGAGATGTCACTTTCAACCGGGAAAGATGGTCCCGATTTAACTAATTTTCACTTAAAACTAAATTTACAAGATAGATATATATGGTGCGAATATTGTGTCCATTATACTTGAATATAATTTCATAATTTCAAGATTAATATTTTTTTGTATCGTTTGATGATATAAAAGCCTATTTAAACCTAAACAAAATGAGATGTAATGTAATTGTATAAATGTATAAAATAAATATTTATTTTCAAATGTTGCATGATATTTAAATTTTATTTATTTATTTTTCCTAAATAGCACAATTAAATTAAAATCTAACTTAAATGTGATGTATAGTATACTAAGAAAATGTAAAATTATACTATATTTAGATATTATTGTATGAGAAAAGATCATACTGGATTCAGATACTGTTGAAATACTTCCTTTTACAACAAATGGGGACTTATGCGGGAAGTGTTTGTTGAGATTTGGGGAGTTCAAAGGTGCACACCATCTGTTTGACGTAATGCCTGAGGGACATTGTTTCATGGAACTACTGCGTCTCATCTAGGTTTGATGATAATGCTATCATCGTTTCCGGAAATGCAAAATTCTGGTTTTAAATCAAGTGAATATACCTTCTCCATTTTGCTGTGACTTTGTGTGTTGTACTTGTCATGGTAAGCAAATTTGTCGGTAATAAAGCCAGCGCCATCCACGTGGGCCGAGCTATGTGGCTCACAGTCACAAAGAGCGCCAAGCTCCCAAATCGGCCTACTTGCTTGGACTTGGGAATTCTCCAAGTTCAATGAGGAAGGACTTTGAAATCAAAAAGTACGATCAATAGTAAAAAGTAGATCAAAACAGTGGAGTCTATTGATTAGATGGATAACCATCTATCTAATCTCTAAATACACCTTCATTTCATTGATTCACGCAAGATCTATCCCCGTTCGAGTGCTCTACCTGTTTTCTTGTTTGAAAGGTCTTTCCTCTCTAGCTTGCTTTGCAAGAGCTTGCTCGAGAAGAGCTCTCGGTCTCCGACATTTGCTACATCAACAAAACTCATGGCAGTATGATTCAAAGTGGGGTGGATGCGAGAAATTCGTTAATTGATATGTATGAGAAAGGTGACCTCGTTGATCATATGTTTGCCATATTTTTACAATGAAATCATCTCTTGGAACTCTTTGATCTTGGGCTGCCACAGATCAGGTTTTAGAGTATTGGCACTAAATCAGTTCTTTTTAATGAGAATCATTGAGCACTCTCCTGATCAGTTCAACATTGTACCAATAGTAATCAGTGTCTTTTCTTGCCTCCAAGAGTTAGAAATTAGGTAAGCAAAATTTTGGTTCCTATTTCGAGATGGGAATTACTTCTAACAACAATGTACTCAGTGCTGCTATTGACTTGTTTTCCAAATGCAACAGCTTGGAGGATTTAGTGCAGCTTTTTGAAGATTCTACCTTCAAACGCATTAGATTTGTGTAACTAGAAATTAATAAATTAAATTCATATATGATGTATTGATTTGCTTAGTCCAAATGAGGAGTTTGTTAACTCTACAAACGTAATAAATAAAAAAACAATTTCTAATTAAGGAATCAAAGTTTATTCCCAGCATCGGCTTGGATAATAAGAAAAGAAGTATAAAAGAATTCAAGCGTTTTAGAAGCGTCTGGCTGACCTCTAGCATCAAGCTGAATTCAAATACAGAAATTCCTCGCAATCTTCTCTTTGGACGCCGACCTCTCCCGCCTTCTTCTGGAGTAATGGGGAATATCCTGAAGCATATCTCATATCTGCCTCCAATTCCAAGGATTATTATGTTAATCCGATTCAGAACGAGAATTTTGGCAATGCTTCTGATTATTGGGCAGAAATCCACACCATGGTACAGAGTTGTCCTTGACTACGGCATCGGTTTCGATTCCGATTTCTTCTTTTCCACGGATAAAAGGGACTAGGGTTTCAACACCAATCCAGTTGGACTCTCTTCAATGACTTGTATGGAGACTCCTCTTACCTCGTCCCGTATTATCATCGCCTATGATGCTACCAAAGATCGCACTGAACACGAGCTCCAGATTACGCTCAGGAACTTGTGGATGAGAGGCGACATTCTCCGTGGAGGCGATACGCTTATTGTGCTCGGAATCCTTCACAAGGTGCTTCATCCCAGTAAGTTTCTGCTGGATTTACAGCTATGGAATGTTATGTTGACAGATTAGATTAATTACTGCCTACTCTCTTCGTACAGTGGGATACCAATTGAAAGCATGCCCCGACTCGATTTTTGGATCCGGCCTTCGTGCAATGGAGGAAGAAGTTTCGAAGAAAGTAGATGCGTATATCGCCATGCTTCAGCAAAGTGCTGAGATGTGCGAAGATGGAGGGGTAATGCTTCCTCTAACTCCCCATCATCCCCATTTTTATCACGAACGCCCCTGTTTCTTCAAGGATTCTTATACTTGGATGATGATTTTGTGCAGGAAAGGAAAAAAAAAGGAGATATTCAAAAAAATTTTAGATAATTTTTTCTAATTCAAAAGGACATTTTGTTCTCTTATTCTAATATTACCTTGTTTATTTATAATTGATTTTATCAGTTATTTATTATTTAATATTAACAATTTAATTCATGTTTATTTTTTTTTCTGCCTATTAAACTTATTTATTTAGTATTTTAATTGACTAATCAATTAATTTATATTATGAAATATTAAACACTATTATTTTAATTAAGGTTTCATATTAAATAATTTAACAACAACAAATATTAGTATTACTATTTTTCCGTATAGGCTGAACCAACATTATTATATTTTTAAAAAAGCCTTAGCGCCTGTTTGGATAGAAATCCGAATTTTTTTTTTTTTCAGATTCACTCAAACGGATTCAGCGAATGTGTGTTTGGCAGGATTTTTGAGATTCGTTTTTGAAAATTGTTTTCAAATTCTGTGATTCAAACAATAGAAATTTTGAAAACGAATTTTTTATGTTTTCAGTGTTTTCAAATTCAGAATTTGAAATTTTAAGTTGCAGATTTACATAAAAAATGATGAAAACTTTGATCAATATATTATTCATATTATAAACTCATTTTATGTATTTTAAAATTAAAACAGGTAAAATATAAGACATTCTAAATTATATAACCTTGCAAAATAATAATTACATAAAATTTATTAGAAAATGTTAATAAATTAATTAATATAAAATTAGATTAAAATAAAATTTAGTTTGTAACTACCCTAGTTTACAAATATATTATTAAACACACATTGAACAATCTTTTAAATTGAGATTCAATTATCAAATCTGCTAACAAACATATATCTTTCATTGAATCCCTTGTCTTCAAATTTATGTTTTCTGATCACCAACCAAACACACTCTTATATATTCTTTTATAGGTTAGTAATTTATTAAATATTGATTTTTTGTGCATCCAATAAAATATTTAATATGTCAAAACGAACATAGTGATAATTGATATATAACTCCAACAAGAGATTGTGAGTTCGAATCCCCTCCCCAACATATTGTACTAAAAAAATGTTTAATATTTCATAGATTTAAATCTTACACATTTTATATAGATATTTTTTTTTTTAGTACAATACTGTATTCACACCCACAAATTTTTGGTGGGGATATATGCTTTTTCTTACTAGTACGATGGTTGATTGAATTCTTCTGCAATTAAGTTGAATTATTAATTATACTGTAATAAACTCCTATTTGAGTACGTCCACTAAGATTTAGAATTTACTAATTCACCTTTGATTACTTGTTAATTGCTATGGAACAACCGGAAACATTAAAACTAGCACTTAAATTTAAACAGTTCAACAAGCTTATCAGCTTTTATTGTAAGAAACTGCAAATAAATGCTGCTCTGTTGCTTCAATATTTGTTTTTAGTTTTACTTGTAAAAAGAAATTGTTCTTTCTTACCGTTGAATAACAGTTCAGAATCTGAATGAATGACTGCAGTTCTCAGTTCTTAATTTTATAATTGTTCAGGGTGGCTCATTGATCCAAAGGAATTAGGGTTAATTAGGAGTGAATGAGTTCAAATCCTGATGGCTACCTACTATAGGAATTAGTAATTTTTATGCGTTTCTCGGCACCTCATGAGATTAGTCTAAGTGCACGTAAGCAGGCCCGAACACCCACGATATAAAAAAATAATAATAATAAATAAAATAATCACTACAGTTCTTAGGTTTATAATTGTTTATTCCCACTCTATTGGTTGACGGTCTATTAATACACAGGTCAGCATTGAAGTCAGAATCACTGCTGGTTTCCCTATTAAGCATGTTATTATACAAGAGATTATGGTCTTTAACGCGAGTTGGGTTATACTTGACAGGTATGGCAGTTTCTCAAAAATAATTACTTATGCAATCTGCCGTCTTATTTTAGCTAGCGTTCTGTCTAATTGCCGATGTTTCTATTTTACAAAGGAAGTCTACTTCTGCTGCATGTTTTCTTCTCCTAACCATGTTTTGTTTTCATACCTTATCCCTCACCATTAGGTTGCTTTAGTGGTCATCGGAACCAATAAAAAAGAGTTTTAGGAGGCATAGGTTCAAATCATGGTGACCCTACCTAAGATTTAACATCCTTTAAGTTTTAGTTGACAGCCAAATGTAGTAGGATTGGTGTAAAATTAGTTGTGGTGTACGTAAGCTAGCCTGAACACTCATGAAAAAAATTTGGAGATAATGAACATGGTGAATATTCTTGGTCAGCATCTAAACAAAAAAGAAAACTTTTGTGATATTCGTGGTCAACCTAGTAAATGAACAATCCTAATAAAATGGTAATTTAGTAAGTTTTGACCATTTGTCTTAATTTATTTTGAATATTTAATAGTGAAGAACTGTTTGCACGTGAGAAGTGCTTAAACTAACTCACATTCCCCAGCAAACTGCTCCTTAGAAAATAATCTTGGTCAACATAGTAAATGAAGAAGATCAATAAGAAAATAATAATATGGTATGTCTCTGACCATTTGTTTTAATTTATTTTGAACATTTAATAATGAACTGTGACATGAAGTTCTTGAACTCACATTCTCCAGCAAATGGAGTGCAGTATACTTGAAATGAAAAGTAGGAAGAAGATTTTAAAGTACGGGAGATTAATACTGATCTTCTGGTATTTTGGATGGGGCAGCTTCAAATAAAATGCTTCAGTCTTCACTTGGTCGTGATAGAGTGATAATGATTGCATAAATTTACGAGTCAAATTTTTTGATCTCATGTGCATGTAATGCAACTGTACAGCATATTTCTCGAACATAATTATTTCATCATTATTCTTGGAGTGCAGTTGTGAATACTGAGTGCTGGAACACAATTGAAACTTGGGTTTCTAAATGCTCATTTCATTTAATGTACATATAGTTTCTGTTTGCTGCTAGGAACCACCATAATAACCAATTTTATATCCTTGCATGTTTCCTCGTGTGCCCTCCTCAAATTGCTGAATTTCTGTTTTGGCTTGTATGATAACTAATAACTTGCAAACTTTAACAGGCATCTTCGACGGGATGAGAGCTTTTACCTTAGACATTTATCTTGCAAGGTTGCTGTAATCTATGATAACTTGTCTGTGAGAGTTTTGAGAAATAAGGTTACAACTGCGGTCGATAAACTAGAACATAAATTGTTTTACTCTAAATCCATGTCCATTCCATCATCCGATAGTGAAAGCTTGAGGGATAGTGAGCAGACTGTTCTCTCCATCAAAAGCTTCTCAATGCAAAGCAGTTCTCAGGAAAGTTCATATGCACAGAGCAACTGTACCAGTTCATCTAGTAGCATGTCTAGAGAGGCGTTGGATCCTGAGCGGTCTTCTCAGCAAGAAAAAGTAGGTAAGGAAGCAATGACAAGCAAAAAAAAAAAAGAAAAAAGGCGCCAAAAATGGCTGAGCATGATGTTCTTTGCATGAATACAGTGGGTTTCTAGCCTCTATCAAACCTATTGCATTCTAATCGTCATTGGTTGAAGCTTGAAAACTTGTTTTGGTTCTCACATCTTGCCAAGCTGAAGAATACAAAATTTTGTAGAGATCATTCGTTACCCCTGGTGTTTGCATTTCACTTCTGCTATATAAACACCTTTGAGATGCTGGTTGTGGTAATGCTGATTGGTGAAGGCTATGAAAAGAAAATTGTTTCAAACAAATATTACTTTATGTCGTTTTCTAATTATATATTTTGCAAACTATTCCACAAAGTTTCACTGCTATCTTAATTTCAGGTACTTGGCTATCAATTAAAAATTAAAATTTTCTTATAGGTACGGATTCCAGAGAGCAGAAAATTTATGCAACTGCTTCCCAGATTGTCCAATGTCCGAATAAGGACGTCTTTCAACAGAAACATTCAGAAGCACCGATTCTATGTTCAGTTTGTGGGACGAGGTCTGAGTTGTATATGAAGGATACCATGAAATTTAGCTATTCTGACATTCAGCGAGCGACTGCCGATTTTTCAGCAGCAAACTTATTAGGAGAGGGTGGTTATGGTCATGTATTTAAGGGTGAACTCAAAGATGGACAACTCATTGCAGCAAAAGTACGGAAAGAAGCAAGTGCACAAGGATTTGTAGAATTTCATTCTGAGATACAAGTCCTGAGTTTTGCTCGTCACAAGAACATAGTGATGCTGTTAGGTTATAGTAGCAAGGAAAACTTAAATGTTTTGGTGTATGAATATATTTGCAACGGGTCTCTTGATTTTCACTTGTTTGGTGAGTARCTTGAAACTCATTGATTCAATTCATCTTGTTTTGATCTTTGAATGACTTTTTTTTTTTAAATAATGCGATTTACAATAGTCTAAATTTTGTTTTTCCCTCTATTAATATTTTCTTTGGCAATTAAATAGGTAAGACAAACACAGTTCTTGAATTACATCAAAGATATGGCATTGCCATTGGAATTGCTAAGGGACTGCGTTTTCTGCATGAAGAATGTCGTGGAGGTCCTGTAATACATAGAGATGTCCGTCCAAGCAACATACTGCTCACACATGATTTTGTTCCTATGGTAATAATCGCATCCTTTTTTGTCTTAATTTACAGGCTTTTCAAGGCTTGGACATGCAACCATAAATGTTAAATTATTCCAGCTTTCTAGAAAGAATGTGGTAGATTTTTGTCCATCGGACTTGTATTTCTCTATCTTCATCCTGATCCTTGTGATGTAGTCCCTTTGTCCTTGACATTACTTCGATGATGGATTTTTTTTGTATGTTGAGTTGAGATGGAAATCTAGTTATCCGACGAATTGAAATTTTTGGTCAGAAAAAGTTCATCTTTTGTGAGGTTTTTGGGCAAGAAATAAACAATATACAAGTTTAAACAGTTGAAAATTTAATTTCAGGGAAGTAGCATCCAGCACTTCTGATTTATGTAGGGTCAACACCTTATCATCTGGATTATAAACGTGGTTCTTCTACTTCTCTCATTGTTGTAAGTAGGAATGGAGCACTATTATTGAAGTATTGATCGACCAAGTTCCTACCACTTTTCAGATAATTCCTTGTATAGAATAGCTTCTAGTTATCAAATGTGTCGAAATCTGTACTCACTGAGAAAGGGAGTAAGGCTATGTGTCAGGATGTCAAAGTTAGACTGTCAATTGAAAGTTGAGTCCAATTTTGTTCGAGCTATCGGGTAAGAAGTATAATTCTGTAATAATAGAACAAGAAAGATATCAGTTTTTCATCTTCCCGTAAAATTTCAACACCGAGACTATTCCATAGCTAATTGACGTTCCATATAGATCACCTTTTCTTGACTTGGTTTCGTATTCCATTTGTTGGAGTTGGAGTTTCAAAGTTACAGTCCCCTTTAATTTTCATTGAGAGCTTTATGTAGGATGTTTTTGCTGCCATATAATCACCTGCACCCTTTGCAAGACTTGGGGAGGGGAGGGATGTAGTGTGAAGATCATCGCAGTTAATATGAACTGCACCCTTTTCTTTTTTTGGTTGTCTACTCAGTTAGGTGATTTTGGCTTGGCCAAATGGAAGACAAAAGATGATACTTCGCATACAAGGATACTCGGCACATTTGGGTCAGCTCTTATGTTTAATAGTTGACTTTTTCACTCTATTTCTGGTGTTTCTAACCATCTGTTTGGGTTTTTGTAGATATGTCGCACCAGAATATGCAGAAAATGGCATTCTCTCAGTAAGAACGGATGTATACGCATTTGGAATTGTGTTACTACAATTAATATCTGGACGTAAGGTGTTTGACATGAAGGATGATGTGCAGGGACAGTCTCTACGAGAGTGGGTGAGTATTCTGTTTCAAGGATTTTTCACTTGTTAATTTTTATTGAGTTTTCTGATGGGTCTCTTTGGAAATGGTTATTAGTTTAGGTGGTTGATTTGTTATAATGGGAGGTTATTGTTGGGATATGAACACAGTCCCATATCAATTAGAAGTGGGCCGGAGGGATCCTTGGTATTCGTAACATCTCCATTCGTACGAGGTATTTTAAATATAGAAAATATGGAAAGATAATCCCAACTGCTAGGGGCAGAAGAATAATAGTCAGAGAGTTGGGAGAGTAACAGATAAGTAGATATTGAGTGAGGGAACTTAGCCTCTTGCTGCTTAGCAAGTCTGGATTTTTGTTCTTTTATTAGCAAAATAGCATACTTTCATGATTTTCTGTATCAAATTGTGGTGTCTATAAATTGGTGTCAAAGCAAGTTCATCCTTTAGAAATGGATCCAGGTTTTTGGAAAAAGTTGCTGGAAATAAGCAGTATAACAGTGAAGTCGATGAGTATTTTTTAATCGAACCGATTCTTTTCCCTTAAATTTTCAGGCTGAACCGTTAATTGAGAACTTAGCATTACACGAACTGATTGATTCTCGAGTAGGAAAGACATACGACACATATGAATTGTACCTCATGGCCAGAACTGCATACTTATGCGTGCAAATGAGCCCTGAGAATCGTCCATCAATGGGAGAGGTAACTAAACTAGAGTTTCATAATAACATAAGCTTACAACTGATGAACTACTGTTTGTCTTATCTACTTTAGAGTTTAGTCATCAATATTATTGTATAATTGTTCCTTGATCTTCCTTCTCATAATTAGGACGGCGTTTATAATTGATTACTCCCATTGTTTTATATGTTAATATATCAAATCACATGCTAATATAAAGTTTTATTAGGTTGTGCGCCTTCTTGAAGGGGAAAATGATCATTTTCACTATCTTGGGGAGAAGCTAGTACCTCGTTATACTAAGTAAATGTAGTGGTGTGTTTTTGCTGTGTTTTTGCTTTTTCTCACTTTCTTGTAATAGAGGAACTAGTTTGTTTGCTATAGAATGAAAGAATGTAGCTTCAAAATTTGGGAAAATATCATTTTCATTGTCAAAATCCCATATTGACTGGATAAGAGAAAAATCACGAGTATAAAAATAAGGGACAATATCACTTGATACAAGATCTTTTTGATGAAACAAAAAACAAAACCATGTAAAATTGAGAAACGGAGGAGTTGATATCCCTAGATGCATTATTTATTATATTATATAGTTGCAGTATTCGTTGTCTTCATTCCTTTCTCCAGATCATTTTCATACAAACATGTAAAATAAATTTGTTTTGGACGTATTACTTTGTAATTGCAACCATTAGAAATATGATTTAGTTTTTTCGTCCATTTTTTCGAATATTTACTTTGAGTGATTTAAGATTTCAAACGTTAACAAACTTAAATTGGTTATGTTTTTTCTTGCTACTTTAAAGCTTTATTATAGTATTGTATATTTCATTAAATTATTATTATTAATTTTTTTTTGAAGACCATTAATTTTTTCTACGACAACACAATCTTTGATAATCAATAATGTATTTAAACATAATTAAGATTTTAACTCACGTTCTAAATGAAGATTCTACAAAAACAATAGTAACTATTTTACACCATATTGCTTTTATAATAACAAATCAATGAGTAGTTCTCAACAAATTATCAAAATTTGATGTGACATACTTGTAAATAATATCTAAAATGACCAACAAAATCACTATCAGTTGCTCGTGTTTATAAAAATTAGAGATAATATTTATGAAAAGAAGGTTGCACTAATTCTAATTATTACTTAAAAAGCCAATATTTTGTAATTTTTACTTGGTTTAATCAATATTTTGCAATGATGAACATCACCGTGTGCCACGTGACGAGATTCGAAGGCTACTTCGAAAAATAGAGTAACATTTTTCTCTTTTAAATATCTAAATTGTAAAATTAAAAAAAAAGCCAAACAAAAAAAAAATAAAAAAAAGAGAGAAAAAATCCACTCAGAAATTTGAATAAATAAAAAGTTAGTGACATTTAAAAAAAAAGTCGAAGCATTGAATAAAGGTTCAATCTAACCATCGAGGTTGTACATTATTTTTACATTTTTCAGTTAGGTCGAAACATCGAGCAAAAGAAATTTGAATAGATGCGTCAGAATTAAAATTCGACACCAAATTTATAACTGTGCGTGTCCATGCATCACAAGAGCAAAAGACTGTGCCGTTATGCGAAGGATTGGAGTTCAAGCTGTTGGTTAGATACATGGGTGTGACTGCCGCCTCAATACTCAATCGCCTTCTTTCCCGAAAGAATCTGAGCGCCAAAATCGAACCCACCGGAGACGAAGCCACCACCACAATCCTCAATCACCTGAAAGAGGGCCGCCTTCGAAAAGCTGTCTCGTTCCTGTTTGATTCCCCATTCCCCTTTCCTCATCCTTTATACGCCCGCCTCTTCCAAATTTGCTCCTCCACTCGCGCGCTTGTTGAGGCTCGAAAGGTCGAGTCTCATTTGGTTACGTTTTGCCCCACGCCGCCCATTTTCCTGTTGAATCGGGCCATTGAAGCCTATGGTAAATGTGGGTGTTTGGAGGATGCGCGGGAGTTGTTCGAGGAAATGCCTCAGAGAGATGGGGGGTCGTGGAATGCGATGATAACAGCATATACCCAGAATGGGTATGCTTTGGAAGCATTGTATTTGTTTTCGGATATGAATAAATCTGGCGTTCGTGCTACTGAGATAACTTTAGCCAGTATCCTTGGGTCTTGCGGTGTTGCATTGGCTCTTCACTTTTCGAGGCAAATTCACGGGCATATTGTGAAATCTGGCTTCCTTGGCAACGTAATTCTCGAGAGTTCTCTTGTTGATGTCTATGGAAAGTGCAGGCTTATGAATGATGCACGCAGCATGTTTGATGAAATTCAGAATCGCAATGATGTTTCCTGGAATGTGATTGTTAGGCGCTATCTTGAGGTGGGCAATGGAAAAGAGGCAGTGTCAATGTTTTACCAAATGTTCCGAGAAGCAGTGATGCCATTGAGTTTTACCTTTTCCAATGCTCTGATTGCTTGTTCAAGTATGGCAGCACTTGTACAAGGTATGCAAATTCATGGTGTTGTAGTTAAAGTAGGTTTTGAAGAGGATGATGTTATTTCGAGCTCTTTAATTGACATGTATGTGAAGTGTGGAACATTAGAAAATGCTCACCAAGTATTTAACCAGCCCAATTCAAGTAATCTGATTTCTTGGACTTCAATGTTATATGGATACGCAATGTCTGGGGAAGTTCCAAAAGCTAGGGAGCTTTTCAATGAAATGCCTGAACGCAATGTGATTTCATGGAATGCTATGTTGGCTGGATATGTTCATTCCGCTCAATGGGAAGAGGCGTTAGACTTTGTCCATTTGATGCGCAGTTCGATTAAGGAAATTGATCATGTAACTCTTCGCCTGATACTGAATGTGTGTACTGGCCTTTTAGATGTTGCAAGAGGAAAGCAAGTCCATGGTTTTGTCTATAGAATTGGTTTCTATGCTAATCTATATATTGGTAATGCTCTTCTTGACATGTATGGTAAATGTGGGAGCTTGAAAAGCGCCAGACTTTGGTTTTACCAAATGAGTCAATGGCGGGATGACGTTTCCTGGAATGCTTTGCTCACGAGCTATGCTCGTCACGGCATGAGTGAACAGGCCATGACGATTTTCGCAGAGATGCAATGGGAAACAGCTCCTAGTAAATTCACTTTTGCAACTCTTTTAGGAGCCTGCGCAAACACTTTTGCAATAGAGCAAGGCAAGCAAATCCATGGCTTCATGGTTAGGAATAATTATGAGATAGACATTGTAGTTAGCGGAGCTTTAGTTGACATGTACTGCAAATGCCGCAAAGTTGAGTACGCTCTCAAGGTTTTTGAAAATGTAGCTTCCCGTGATGTGATTCTGTGGAACTCCATAATTTTAGGATGTTGCCACAACAGAAGGGGTATGATAGTAATCGAGTTATTTCGATTGATGGTGATGGAGGAAGGTCTGAAACCAGACCATGTGACCTTTCAAGGTATTTTGCTTGCTTGTGTATATGAAAATCTCGTTGAATTGGGGAGGCAGTATTTTGATTCAATGAGTGATAAGTTCTGTATCATACCTCGATTGGAGCACTATGAGTGCATGATCGAGCTCTATGGTCGACATGGAACCATGGACGAACTCGAAAATTTTATCAACAATATGCCCTTTGATCCCACTGTCCCAATGCTAGAAAGAATCCTAGAAGCATGTAGAAAACACGGAAACTCGAAGTTGGGAGAATGGGTAGCCGTACGACTTAATGAGCGGAATCTTTTGTGAAATCATGACATAAAAACGGAAACTCGAAGTTGGGAGAACGGGTAGCCATACGACTTAATGGGCGGAATCTTTTGTGAAATCATGGCATAAAAACGGAAACTCGAAGTTGGGAGAACGGGTAGCCATACGACTTAATGAGCGGAATCTTTTGTGAAATCATGACAGAAACAAAGAAGATCCGCTTTCTCAATTCATGGTTAGGAGCCACTGTGGAAGCTAGAGAGTGACTTTAAGGTTGCATACAATGAGAAGTTGTCTCTCATTCATTACAAGATCTATTTTTTTGGCAACCTGCTCGATAATGTCAGCTATCAAAGAGGGATCCAGATCCAAGAGTTGAATGAGAATAGACCAAGAAGTTATTTCTCACTACAACATCCAGTTTCCGCCATTGGCCATTGAAGAGTAATTCATGTTCAAGATATCAATGACTGTTATAATCCTCATCAAGTAAAGTCATTCACTTACTAAGCTGTCAATGCTTGTTTAAATGGGGAAATTATAGAGCGAATCCGTCGAGGTGTTGTTATTGGTCGAAACATGCTGGAGAAAGATAAGCTACGTTGTCAAAACAACAATAACAACAGACTTGGTGATACCCTGCGTTTCTGCTTGAAGGTTCAGCTGTTTTAGTTGCCTTGGCTGATATATGGGCAGGAAATGAGCTGATTCTTTATTCTCTAACATAGCTATCTTCAAATGAATAGATTATGTGATCTGATAAAAAATGAGATGATAACAAATCATGACAGATACTTTGCTGACTGAAACACATTACTTGGGTACTATGGACTGACGACATGTATTTAAGGGTGACTGCCAATTTTTCAGCAGCAAACTTATTAGGAGAGGGTGGTTATGGTCATGTATTTAAGGGTGAACTCAAAGATGGACAACTCATTGCAGCAAAAGTACGGAAAGAAGCAAGTGCACAAGGATTTGTAGAATTTCATTCTGAGATACAAGTTCTGAGTTTTGCTCGTCACAAGAACATAGTGATGCTGTTAGGATATGGTAGCAAGGAGAACTTAAATGTTTTGGTGTATGAATATATTTGCAACAGGTCTCTTGATTTTCACTTGTTTGGTGAGTAGCTTGTTGGCAGAGACTGCCCTGGTCTTTTTTTTCCTGAAATCTACCCATCCTTGCCAATCCCCACTTCGGCTACCTGCTGCCGAAGTTTAAAGACAATAGGCATTCGCTCCTGTTTTTTTATTTCAATGATGAAAATCTCACGCTATGGTGTCTGTGGCTGAGAGTTAGGCGACCAGATTATCTGAAGTGGAAGAGCAACTGAGGTGCATACTACATGGGTGTGAGGATGACGAAAAGCAGCTTGCGCCAGCTCTGCAGGATCCCACCCCGTTGGATGGAGGCTCCACCTGTTTTTTTTTTTTTGCTGATAGGGATTAACAACTGAAATGGATTAGCCTCCATCTCTCATGCCTGAACTTCCACAGTTGACTATTGTAAATGTTTTTAAAAACTATATTAAAAAAACAAAGGAACATATAGGTGAATGATTCTATCAATATAAATTCCTTCATTCTTCCTTTAAGAAGTACAGTAAATGATTGCAAATCTATATAAGTAGCACATTCATTACGTGGATTGCTGCATCCTTCATCCTTGATATTGAAGCAGAGGGAGAAGGATGATGGAATGTCTTCAGGCTTGCAATTTGATGAAGTGAGTGGGGTGAGTTTCAAAATTATACCAACTGCTCAGGTATTATTCTTGGGCTTAGAAATACTGTATAATTGAGGTATTTCAACCACTTTAATTTTAAGTTAACCGTAGATTCCGTTTTCATGTAATGTAAAACCAATTTCTTCAGTTTATTAATCATGTTGGTTGTCGAAAGTGTAGATGCGGCAACAACTAAGAATAAAGCGTAGCATGTGGCCGCAACAGCAGTAGCTTGGTGGCATGGCATCTTCCATTTCCTTTATTGTCCTCTTCGAAGGCATATTTTATTAAGGTCTGGAAGACTAATTTTATGTATTCTCCCTAATTTGTTTGGAGCTTCGCTCAAGTCCCTAAAAAATTATTGTTTAAAAGGGTTCAAAGCCTCCTCACTTTCTTAGTAATCTTTCGAGCCTAAAACGTTGATACTGTAATAATGTTTTGCTTTAAAAAGCAATTACCGTAGGTCAACAAAATGCTGTACCTCTTGAATTTTGGTCATAAATTGTTTTCTTTTGCTGGACTATAGCATAACCATTGAATTTTACAGAATAAAAATGTTGTGTGTTCCAGAAAGATCATGGGCAGGAGTTGAAGTTGCAGTTTGTTTCCTACTCGAAGAATATTTCTGAAAGGTAAGCTGGCTTTTCTTCGCAGGCTAGAAAAAGTTTTAGTTTCTTCACATTAACATCATTGCATTTGTGTAATGTAATCCATTGGCACATGAATGAGAGCCGACTTCATTTTTTTAATCAAAAGAACTTGCAACCCGAGTTTTCTTATGGTTCTTTCTGTCTGTTGCTGCTGATTTCAGGAACTGAAAAAATAACATGCCAGAAAACAAAATCAAATCAACCTGCTGATCATAATTTCAGAAAGTCCAACCTCTACAGGTAAACTGAATGTTTTATTTTGCGAGAAAGGATCCTAGCATGCGAATTGAAAATATAGATTCTGTTATTTCACCGCACCAATTTCTAATTTTCTATGGTGAGTAATGGATTTACGTGTGAAATTGAAACACCTCTGATTATGAATGTTTACCTAATTAACAAACAAACAAAGAAATTTTACGTGCCGCCTCAAATAATAAGATCACAAAATGCAACCAACAGAGATTGATAACTCGGCCAAATCTAGTCTAGCAGGGGGTAGAATACTGGAAACATATAGTATTTATTTAATCAGGAAATGGACAAAACTATAGTTTATTAAATTTATTAGTGCCTTTAGGCCTTAGATACCTAAAAGCCACAACCTACTCAATAATTGCCTACCAGAAACTAGCCAAAGGAAAAAGAAACCTAAAACAAAATAATTTCAAAACATCAATCATGGAAGCTGAGATATGAGAATAAGAGAATGAACAGAGACCAAAATGAGTGCAGAATTCAATCATTCATGGAGATGGAGGTGCAGACAGTATATATTTTTTTGATGGGTTAAAGCGAAAATGTTTGGCAGACGATCAAGACAGGTGTAGCAAGGATGTGATAGAAAGTACCCCTGATTTTAGAAAAAAGTTGATGCCTTGCCTAAAAGCATCAAATTGAATAAAATGAATGGCTATAGTAAAAAGATGGTTGCGAACTCTCCCAGGGCAGCTAAGTTGGTAAGAGTTTGAGATTTTTTTTGTCATATTGATTTAGAGGCCTTAAGTTCGAACTTTCCAATGAACTTAATATTAAAAACCCTTGACGTCTCCTAAATCCGGGTCTTGGGAGGAGGGCGTGGATGTCCCTGAGTATAGGAAATTAAAGTTCCGACTCCTAATTATGAAAAAAAAAGAAGAAAAAAGATGGTTGCGATGAGCGGATTTGGATTTTCCACTAATTAAGATAAAGCTTACTACTCCACTTAATGGTGTGGACTAAAGTAGACATATCTGATAGGATGGTTTTGCTTTCTGAGCATCGACTGGTTTCAACTATTTTCTACTATTTGATTAGTGATTATGATGATGATGATAAGGCTTCCAAAATATCCTATGGCATTTCAATCTGTTTCCCTCTCTATCACAAAATATTATTTTGAATTATTTTTTATTTCATCCTCTCTAGTATAGTTGGGATGGAAATAATTCTATGATGCTGAAATTAAAATTATTTAGGACTTGGTCCTACAAGTCAAGCATACAGAAATTCCAACCTTAAATAAACACAGTAAGTTCTATTTAATTTCTTTAGCCATTAAGAGTTTGCAAAATATATGTTCATTATCTTTTTAAGAGTAATAATAAAGTTTCAAACTTGATCTTAAAAGCTTTTTCAAAACTTTACTAAATCCGTAATTTTAGAAAAATGCAATCACCATCCCCTTGATCAGATTATCTAAAGAGCCTCCTCTTTCTTTTCTTAACATGATTTTCAAATCCTCTCTTAGTTTCATTTGAAGAAACTTAATATATCAAATATATATCATTATGAAAAAAAAAAATTGAAAAGGCTTTTTCAGTAGATAAGAATATATTATCGGAAAAAGGTATGAAGAACACTATTGATGTTTTTAATTAGTAATTTTATATATAAAATATGAAAATGACATATATTGTTAAGCAAACTGCCAAGAGTTCATCAATCATGACCTTTTCCACCACATTCAACTTTCTTTTGTTGTTATTTTAAGATGTTTTCATCTGTAGAGAATTATTTTATCTTTTAAAAAAACATCCAATTTAATCTTCAAAGTCTCCTCGTTGGGTATAACAATGACCAAGAGTATATTCGTAACGTTTTCGGTTTAAAAAATAGGAAAAAATATTTGACAGGATTAATTTTAAAACACACACTGAAAGGATATATATAAACTTTTTCCAGATACCCAAAAAAAAAAAAAAAAGAAAAACTAAAACAGAGGAACAAACTCCTCACCAACTAAAGAATTTACTTCTTTAGGCCAGTCTTCTAACCAAATACTGAACCTCGTAGCCAAATCATTCAGGATGGTAATAATCTTTGTTAATGATTAAATCATCACTCAACCCAAAAGTTTAAGCGGGTTGGATAAATTTAATCTCGGATAATATCATCTAAATAATGAGAAGCTTGAATATAGCGGAAGGATCTACTTCTAGTTCAATTGGCCTCCATAGCAACACGAATTCATTCCCTTAGTGTTAAACCTTCAGTAATATTAGAATTAGAGACATTAGAGTGGAAGATGTCGAAAAAAAAATTAATGTGTCGTAAAACAATGTCGGAAAGATTAAAGCTTGAATGAAAATTTCACCGGCACTTGAACGAAATCTTGGGGAAAACAGAGATTTGACTTTTAGAAATTTTGAAAACAAGGTAATTAAATTACAAAATAGAGACCATTAAGGATAAAGTTTAGCATTTAATATAAATATTTAGTGATAATCGCACACTATAGCATTAAATGACAATTGATAATGTTACGAATTAAAATATTCACGAGGAAAGAAAATACTCATTATTTTATTAAAATATTATCATTTAATCATTAATGTAAACATTTTTATGAATGATAATCAAATCTCATTATAATATATTTTAAAATTTAATAATATATATAACAAGATGAGATTTAATTAGGGTAATTTGAAGACAAATAAAAAAAAAGCTCATTTAAATCTTAGAAATATAAATTTAGAAAATTTAGAAAAAAAATGGACATTTGAAAATACCATTATTAATTTGACCCAGTTGAGATACTTTTTCAAATTTTAGTGGACATGGACCAAATAGGAAAGTTTAAAAATCCAGCCTAAACTTTTTACCGATGAGTTGATGACAAAAATTTTAATAATCACATTCTTATAATTTTAGAGTCAAACTTGTAATTTCTCAAATATATTTTAGAGATGATTCTGTTGGGAATGACAAATATTAAAACCTCTTTTGTTATCCCACATCGGAAGAATAACCTTTGGGAGGCTGGTTTATAAGCATTGACTCAGTATTGGGCTTATAAACTTGGTGTGAGGAAAGCCAAGACCAAGGCCCACACGTGCGCCGTCGTCGGGCTCGAGCCTGATTTTCCTTTTGGGGAAAATTTTTTCTACAAAGTCAAAGACACGTGGCAAACTAAGAGGAATTGTAGTTCAACGTTGAATGAGAAATTCAAGCAATTCAAAAGACACATGGGTGGCCAAAATAAATTTTTATTTTTTATTTTTTAAAAATTCAATTCTATTTTGGGCTACCACGTCACTATAAAAAGCTCACCCCTTTCCATTTCAGATCATCTCATTCATCTCAATCTCCACTCAATTCATTCACTTTTCCACCTCTCTCAACTATCTTAACTGAGCACGAGATTGATTTCACTCCTATTTCGACGAGTGCACGTCTGAATTGGAGGTTGTGTTAACCTTGGGGAGCATACCGGCAGTAAAACGATTTAGCACTGAGGTCGTGCCGATTTTGCTTTCAAGGTAGTGGTTCCGCCCACGACACAACGTTTTTTACCTCCTGGTTCCTATTTTGTCCTTTATTGTCCAACAGTTGAAAGCAAAATCCTACTAATGGCTGCTATCCGATCTGGGAAGGTCCTACCGGACTTGTCAAAATTGGAA